GCCGGGGCGGGTTTGGGGTTTATAGGATTCAGCGACGTTAAATCGCAAACCGAAATCACCGGGACACCTTTGTCTACTTAGGCCCAGTTTTGTGTTTTGCGACTGTGTGAGTTTGTCGCGACTGCAGCAGCCCCAGCAGCTAACTCTTTAATTAGGGATTTGCTTAAGTATTTGTGATTCAACCTCCCATGGTAGCGCAGGCATTATTGAATGTTTAGGGCTCATAAATGCCTGAATGAGGGTCCCTTGCAGGAAAATCCTTCAGCGACCTCACTTGAAGAAATTGAAAACTTGGAACTTGGTTAGCATCTCATGCTTAGAGAAAAACATGGGATAACCTTAATTGGTATACGTACAACTCGGAAAAATAGAAACCTGAATAACTCTCTATACCATGTTCTTCGGGCTCCCTATCATAACTATACTATAACATGAGCTGTTCTCCTTATGAACACAAGGTTCCGTATTACTGATAACTACACAAAATCTAAGCTGCTCTTCTTAATAAGGCCGAGGAAAGTCCAGAGTATCCGGATGGATAGAGCTGAAGGGGCTAGGGTTTAGAAGTTTAGGGCTGGAGTCAAAACTCGCGAATCAAGCGGCTCCTAAACCCNNCCTAAACCCAAAAACGTAAACCCTAAACCCCAAACGGTAGAATGTAGGGTTTCTGTAGCAGGAATTACTAGTATGGTTTGGGTACGTACCTTCCACATAGGTACTTGGGACTCTTTGGGTAAGCTCTGCGCAGAGGCGCCAGAATCCGATGCCCTACACTTCCCAACCGTTTTTCCACCAGAACTTTCTCCTGCCTCTACGAAACCCTTTCGGGGCCCCAAACCCTAAGCCCCAAACCCTGTAGACCCCTGACAGTTACCCAGCCCTTTCCTTTCCTTGGAGCCCCAAAAAAACCCGGCTCGGCAGAGGAACATTCAGCGAGCTCGGAGATCGAGCTCATGACCAGCAACACCCACGTCAGTGTCAACGAGGTGTGACGTCGGGGGGTTTTTATGAAGGGTATACATTACAAATTTAGGGTTTGCATAGGGTCTTAATAAGGTTCTGATGAGGGTTGCGTTCGTGGTGTGTCGGGGCCCCGGGTGAGGGCGTCATTACGCTTGGTGGGAAAGTTCAAGGCACTTTTCGCCTTGCTGGGAGACTATAATTCATTCCCATGTCCTGTGTGATCTTGTAAAAGGCCTTTAGGTGTTCGGGTTTCTACGAGATTCAGGTTTCGGGACCAGAAATCCTGTAGTAGAAGCTTTTTATGCACCAGAATAGTGCAGAGGTAGTATCGGCAGTAGAGGGAGGTTTTTTCCAATCCTTTTGACTATGAGGGCAGTTTGAGAGCTGGAAGACTTCCAGTGGTTTGCCTCATGCCATGGTAAAGCAAGACTCCGTTTGGGCTTGAATCTACAACTCCAAAATTAGGTCTGCATCTTGCACGCTTCACACAAAACTTGAAGCCCCCCAGATATGGGGCACAGGATTGTGGCCGCGAAGATGTAGATCAGATGTTGCACCGTCAGGCTCGCATCTCGGCGTCGCTGATCTTCTTCGGCATCGGCTTCATTTGCGTGTTCATCAGTGGAACGTTGGCCTGGGCGGTGTCGGACCCCCTCCAGCGCATGAGCCGCTGGACAGGCTGTGGAGTTGTCATCCCATCCTAGTCCGACCACAAGCACATTCAGACACCCAGCATACTGATTGAAACGTTGATAGCAAGCCCTATGCATGTAGTTGAAGGGGCATTGATTAATCAGGGGGCTGGTGCCCAGGATACTGTCAGTAGTTGTTTTCAGTCTATCTGAAATCGCATGGCAACCGATAATTTTGCTTTCGGCATGGTTTTCGGCCCATCTCCGAGGTAATGATATGCAGCGCTTCAGCGAGATCGTTCGCGATCCTGACTGCTCCCTGTCTCCGTGTCAGGCCTGGAAGCAAGGAGAACCTGTCCGAACATCAGTCCACCATTTAGGGTTTAGGGTTAAGGGTACCACATCCGAACCAGAAGTCTCACACTGGAGCATTCACAGACCCTGGAGAGGGCATTTCAAGTTTTCGATGTGTAAAATATCAGCAAGTTAGAAACACGCGCATTTCAGCGTGGCAGCAGGTGGTGCGAGGCAACGGGCAATCCATGTTCAACCCAGGTTGAATCCAAGTTGAATCCAGGTTCAATGCAGGGTTCGAACCCAGGTTCATGTAGACCCAAAACCCTGAACTCTACATCCTGCCCGCTCCATCCCCAGCTATAAACCCCAAACCCGAACCCAGGTTTCATGCCAAGGAGTGGGCGCCACTTGGACACACAAACTCGGGCTTCGTGACCTCAAACCTTCGAAAACCATCGAAGGCCATGATTGATGGTGCTTCTGAAGCTTCTTTGGAGCGTCAGACTACGTATGAGTTTCAGCGGGAAGCCTTGCTAAGTTGGAGTGTAAGTTCCGGGTTGGAGGCTCTTCTGGAGGCTTGAGAAATGAAGAGACATTTTACCGGCATCAGCCTCTTGATTCTCGTCTGCCTCATTATGACAATCGCCACAAGCCCCAGCGTCATCATCATCGCCGTTATCATCGTCGCAGTCATTGCCATCGTCGCGCGCTTTCGTCGTCTTCCTCTGCATAAACGAAGTCTTGTTGCTTCTGCAGGCTCCTGCTAGGGTGTTGTTGGTATGGCTGTGCGCCTTACGGCTTTGGCGTTGTATGATGCTGCGGCACATGAACGGCTAACCTTTCTGGTGGCCAGAGCTCAGCAGGTACGAGTTGAATCAGCCCCTCCCTTTGGCTTTGGAGCTTCAGTGGTTTGGGTGTTCCTCATTTTTCTATATTCCCAGTCCTTGTAGGGCCTCAGAGTGCTAGAAGTGAATGCATCTTGAGCTTCATCCTACCTGGCGCACGGATACAAGCCAAATCCCTGCCAAAGCAAGGTCCTTGCATCAAGGATGTGGCAGCCTATGAGTGCTCATTTAGTGCCTTGGAAAAACCAGACTGTTAAGGCTTAGGTGGAGCCTGGGTTTGAAGTTGGAAGTGTAAAGTTTAAAGGCTGTCGACTTTCGGATCGTGCATCCTTTTCCAGCCTCACCCCAATTCTAACCCCTTATAGCAAGCCTTAATCGTGACCCTGAGCTTCCCCTCGGCCTCCACCGTTTAACATTGGGGCCTTAATAACAAGAATAAGGTTTGGGGATATACTGTACTATGAATATAATAAGGAACCCCCAAAATAGTATAGGTAAATATTGGTTATACTATAAGTATAATAAAGAACCCCCAAAACCCTATTCCAATAATTAAGGCCCCTACATTACCCAAAGCGCGGAGCAAGCCGGGAGCTCACCAGGAAAGCTGCTCTGTGGAATCTCTGCCTTCTCGCGATTCATCCCTGAGGTGGGTGGGGCTTCCGGCTTTCGCAAGGCTTCCACAGTTTAGGGTTTAAGGTTCGGGGTTTAGGGTTTTGGGTTCCGGGT